GGAGTCTAATTTTTCTGTAAAATTTTGATAATCGTGTTTGCATTTTCATACGTTATTCATGACTTTTAATATGTGATTTATACTAACATGATGATTCTAAAGCCATTGATACCATTCAATTGAGTTTTGGACGCCTGTATGCAAAGTTACCATGAACACGCATTAGGGTTTCAGAAGCTTAAAAAGAGGGCTTCATTCATATGGAAAAATTGAACCATAAGACCTGTGTCATTGGACTCAGGACCTCAAAACGAGTCAAACTCACTAGTCGCGCCCTATTTATATTTGCATATGAGCTATTCGTTATTTTCCAGGTTTGAGTTAGTGGGGGTTTAAAACCCCTGCTATTTGATGTTATTTTTCAGGCAAAATGAAAGACCAAGGAAGAAGATGCTTGCGTGTGGAACCATGGTTGGTTGGTTTGAATAAATGGCGCCTTTTTTTGTTTTTCCAGCATAATCCTGATTTTCCAAATATATTAATTGTGCCCCACTATAATAACAAAGAAGCTTGAGTGGTTCAGTGGTTAGTGCGTTTGGCTTGCAGGTATTGGGACCTGGGTTCGATTCCCAGGTCCCCTCCCTTCTCAATATTATTTTGCTTTCCATATTTCCATGCAGCGTCCCCTTCAGTGGTCTACCATACACTCAATGCCATAGCTTGCCAAATGTCCCAAAAGACGAATCTGAAGGTCAGGATCTGGAGTCCACCATGGACACCAGTCAAACGTTCCACACGCATCCCAGAAAAGTCAAAAGGGCCTTCCTCAAATGGGCCAAATTACTGCTGATAATACCTCCAATATTGGGTCTACCACCCCTATTGTTTGTATCTCTATCCCTTTTTTTTTCCTTTTTTTATTTATTTGTTTCAATTTAATTATTTTATTTTAATTCTTTAAATTAATTTTGAATAATATAAAAATACAAAAAAAATCAGAAAAGTCAAAATAAAAATATATTTTATTATTTAATTCATTAATATTTCATTTTGTAAATAAATTCTAAAAACTAATTAGTTTAATTTTAAGTTTAATTTTAATATTTTTTTGAATAAACTAAAAAAGGTAGAAATTAGGGTTTTTATACTTTTATTCTTTTTTTCCTTTTTTCACCATATTTAATTATTAACTATTTTTTTGTAAATAAATTTATAATTAGGTTAAAATTAGGTCAAGATCAAACATTTTGTATATAAAATAAAAACAACTAGAATTAGGGTTTTGTTTAATTTTTAATTTTAATCCATTTTTCTCTATTATTATTAAATACCAAAAACCCAAAAAAAAAAAAATTTCTTTTTTCTTTAATCATTAATTCCAATTTAATTTCCTTAAAAGGGTCCAACGCCCTCGCATTCCCGATTTTATTTCTTTTCGCATTTACTTTTATTTCCTTTTTTTGAATTTCATGTACTTGCCCCAAAGCCTTGTAATAGATTAATTAGGGTATTTACTTTCCGCATTTTATTTTATTCAAATCGGGTCTTGGATTAATTTGGCGATGTAGACCCGCGCCTTTGTAATAGCGTAGGACTTTTATCTTCCCGCACCTTTTAAATGTTAATAATTTGCAAGAAAGAATGAATGCCAAAAATAAAAAAAAATAAAGCGTAGATCACCAATGCATGACAAGATAAACATAATTGAAAATGACACACAATTCACACACCACCCCTAGGGTACGCCTCACTGTTTCCTTGCCCCTCGAAAAGTGGTCGTCGAGTAGAGGATGTTTTAGTAAGTCCTCATGTCCATGAACATGGCATGAGGGTAGCTTCTAAGGTGTCTTCCTATTGCTCTGGTGATCACAATGTCCCGAACCCTTGAATTGACCCGAACACCTCCAACGGTGGTGCTACCTACCTCTCAATGGTGGGATGGCACTATCTTAAGGACATTTACACAGACGAATTCCTTAGGGTAGGTAGACGACTCATAGATACTTGCTCTAACTCAAAACAAATCAAAAATTCTTTTCACACAGACACTTTAAAAAAAAGCTTTCAAAACAACTTTTTAAACACTCTTGAGGACTGATACAAGAGTCGAACTGAAATTTTAAACGAAACTTTTTCAAACCCACTCTGAAAAGCAAACAAACAATTTTGAAGACACAAATGAGCAAGTATCTAAGAGCCCATGGATAACCATGGATAGAAAGGGTGCTAACACCTTCCCTTTCTATAAATCTACCTCCCGAACCGAGAACTAATCTCAATAAGGAATTTTTTTGTGCTTTTGTCCTTTCCATTTGGAGAAAATAAAAGACGGTGGCGACTCTTGCTTCCGCGACATTTCGCGAACCAGCGTTAAACAGTCAGTTCCAGATCCACCGATCACAATATGCATCAACTAGCAGAGGAAACAAGTGACTGATGGGTTGGTACTCGTCAGAGACTGACAACACTAGGTGACCTGCTTACTTGGGCTATGTTCAACAGGGACTTTTTGAGGAAGTATTTTTCCTGAGTATGTGCGCAGGAAGAAAGAGATTGAGTTTCTGGAGTTGAAGCAAGGGAATTTGACTGCGAGTGAGTATGCTTCGAAGTTTGTGGAACTAGAAATTTTTTATCCATATTACAATGAGGCAACTGCTGAGTTCTCAAAGTGTATCAAGTTTGAGAATGGGTTGTGTCCGAAGATCAAGTGGGCGATTGGGTACAAATAGATATGTGTGTTTTCAGAGTTGGTGAATAGCTGTAGAATCTAGGAGGAGGATAATAAAGCTCTTTCAGCTCACTACAATAGTTTGAATGAGAAAAGAAGAAAGCAATATCAAGACTGTAAGAAGCCTTATGATGCCCCGACTGATAAAGGGAAATATAAGGCTTATAATGGGAAGAAGACAAGTGGGGGAGGAGTTCCCGATTCTATCAAAACCTATAGGTATGGTGAATAAGGTCAACAATCCAATGAATGTGAGAATAAGGTGTTTAGGTTCTACAAGTATGGTAAGTCTGGTCATCGTTCTCCTGAATACAAGAACGATGGTCTGACTTGTTTCAATTATGAAGAGCAAAGTCATATCAATGCCCAGTGTCAGAAGCCGAGGAAGGATGCTACTTCCCAGACTAATGGTAGAGTATTCACGTTAAGTGAGTCAGAAGAACCTTAGAAGGACAACTTGATTCGAAGTACTTGCTTTATTAACAATGTTGAATTAGTTTCTATTATTGATAATGGTGTTACCCATTCATTTATTTAGATTGAATGTGCTACTAAGTGGTAATTGAACTTATCTAATATGAATGGTATTATGGTAATATATACTTCTGCTAGTTGTTCTGTTACTACTAATGATGTTTGTTTGAAGTGTCCTTTGACTATTTATGGCAAGAGTTTTGTGATGGATTTGGTGTGTCTTCCCTTACACCAAATCGATGTGGTTGGAGTTCAACTATGTTCATATCAATTATTATAATAAGACTTTGAGGGTCCTTAAGTTTGGTGATAATGGAGAATTATTGTTGTTGACCGCTAAGCAAGTGAATGAACTTTTAGAAGATGAAGCCTTGATGTTTGTGATGTTCACGTCGTTATAAGTGGATGGTAAGGATGCTGTTGTACCCTAATTTCCCCCCTAAGATCCCTCATCATACTTCGTACATTTTGTACATAGCATCGGTCTCATGGTTATAAGATCGAAGAGCTTTGGCATTGGGTTTTTCTCTCTGAATAGAGGTGGGTCGCTTCAAATGAAAAGTGACTAGAATCTATGGATTTAATTGAGATTGAGGTACATAACCTTCATTAGGTCATCTGTTGCATCATGCATCATTAATCAATAGTTTGGCTTGAGATCGGGGATTTCGGGGAATTAGGTTTGTTGAATGGCTTTAAGGCTCTTATCTTTGCACAAGCTTGTCTCGGTTGATTTCTCCATCAATCATTCGTTCGAATTAGGATTTTATTTCCTGGACTTCTTTATCATCAAATTACAGGGATATTCTCTCTCCTTAGCATCAGGTTACAATCCTTCTTCAATGCTTAAGAATTAGGGTTTTCTTCTATTATGCTTCAATTGGGGATCATTGGATTAGGGCTCGATCTTATGGTTATCTTGGGTTTCTCCTTCTTCAACATCGTGGACTTGTTTTAAACGATACAATTTTTGGTTCTCATCAAATATTTGTTACTTCAATTGCAAGTTAACTTGGACTATTGAGAGAAATGACTAGTGATCTGGATTCGTTGAGACTTCTAATCATGCTCAGAGTTAATATTGATTCAAGGGCTTATTAAGTTCATGACTTTGTTAACGGTTGATTCAAGATAGGGCCGGGAGCTTATTTAGCTCATTTTATCAAATAAAAGTTGGTCGCTTCAAATACAAGATGACTAGAATTTATGGATTCAATTGAGATTAAGGTTCATTTACCAAGCATGCCATTTGAAGTCAACCGAGTTTCGACTTGTCATGAACGCTTGAGTTACATTAAATATCGATTTAAGATGAACATGGAATAGAAGTTTTTAATGTGATTCAAAGATAAGTCATTTAACTTGCTTGAAGAACAAGATATATGCGAGAGATGTTACAAGAATTGTGGATAATTTTCCTGGTTTTCTTGTACTCATAATATAAGTGATTCATCAATTGGCTTTGTTTAGAATTTGGATTATGTTTGAGATATAAAAATAAGATTTTGAACTTAAGGTTAAAGAAGGGATCACGATTCATTCAAGGTACATTTTGAGAAGATGTAAGCATAAGAGAATAAATTCAAAGACTCTTTTCTTGATTCAACCATGGCTATTACAGAATCAAGAACTAGAACATATACATTTTCAACCATTTAAAATTACATAAAAGTGACAATTTTTTCAATCCAACTTATGAATATATTACATCAAAGTCCATAGACCAAAATTCAATTACATAAAAAAAAACCCATACTCTCCCTTCACTCCCTCCAAGAATCGTGATGCTCAGGCCTTGCTTCCTCTGACGATCAAGCAGATTAACGATTCTTATCAAGCAAGTGATGATAAAACCAATATGAATATTGATGGTGTTGAAGTTGGCACAATTTCTCTTCTTGGTAGGGTGTGCAGCAAAGCTGGACAAATCACTGATGTTAAATTTGTACTTGATGATGGTACTGGAATGATTGAGTGCACTAAATGGCTTCAAGAACCTGCAGATTCAATTCCAATGGAGAGTATTTTAAATGGAATGTATGTGCGAGTTTATGGACACTTGAAAGGCTTTCAGGGTGAAAAAAAACTTGAATGTTTTCTCTTTTAGGCCTGTGACCGACTTCAACGAGATTGCCCACCATTTCCTTGATTGCATATATGTTCATCTATATAATTTGATGTTTCGGGCTAGCAATCCCCATCAACAACATGTTCCTAATTCCACACAAATCACTCCCACGAGAGGTCATCAATTTCAAGCTGTATCAGCAAATCAATTCTTAGGTCAAAATAATAATGATCAGAAGAGTGTTGAACAATTGGTGTCAGATTTCTTGCTTCTTCCCCAAAATAGGGAAATAACTGAGGGAACCCCTCATGATGTTATTAGAGAACATCTTAGAATTCCCCTAGATAGACTTAAGCTGGCTATTGAAAATCTTACATATGAAGGTCAAATATATGAAGGTGTAACTGATAGATATAAGTCAGCTATCGATGGTTGACATCTTAGTGGTGGAGAATGAGCAGAACAAACTGAATAAAGAATGGGTAGATTTTGTACCTACAGATGAAAATGTTAATGCCACGATATCTGATACAACTCGCGGTTTGGAAAATTGTGAAACTGCCTTGAATGAGTTAGAAGGATCTGAAGTTCAAATTGTATCTCAACTTCAGGAGCATACACCAGTTGGTGAAGATTATCTTCAAATGGTTATTAATTCAAATTCACCCATCATTGTTGGTGAAACTAGTCATGTTGAAGATGAGATTGATGTCAATAAGACACTTAGCCAAAATAGTCGATCATGCAGTATTGATACACTTGAGGAGACCATTGATGAAGCAAAAACTAACAAGAAAATGTTGTTTTCATCAACGGAATCTCTCATCAATTTGATGAAAGAAGTGGAACTTCTGGAGAAAGCTGATAAGGCAAAGCCTACTGCCAAAACAAAGCCTACTGCCAAGCCTATAGCCAAGCCAGCTCCAAAGGCTAAACCAGCTGCCAAGACTTAGCCAGTCTTAGACAGCTGCCCCACCCTTTTACCGATCCTGCAAAATCACGTCAAAAAATAGTTAATTCAACAACCTTCTAACAGAATCCAACCACCTGAACAGAATTCCCTAACTGCTCTAACTGTTAACAAAACTTTAAACCAACCTATAACCAACTTGTAACAAATTTCCAAAAATTCCTAACAGATTCTAAGAGAAATAATAGAAAGGGAGGGGGGATTCAGATTCATCATTTTTTCAACTCTACAGAAGAGATTAAGACAAAAACTTACCAATGGAGATTCACGCTATAATTCTGTAGAAGAATCTTCATCTTTCCCTGCTCTGATCTCATTCTCCCCTACCTAATCATCCTTCTTCCTTCTCTACAACAACCACATCTCACATCTTCAAACACCTTCTTTAACCTTCAATTCTTTATAACTACTTCATAATCACCTATATCGCTTCTTGAACCTCACACTGTATCTATGCACCATTCTTCATCTCATCATTCTCTGCACCTTTCTCCAAACACCATTATGCACCACAACCATATCCTCAACCTTTATCACCTCACAATCTTAATGATCACCATCACGCAAACTCTCTTCAATATTCAAGAATAATTGTTTTGTACTTCCTCTGCGACTAGACCTTCACGCAATTCATCACCAGCATCAACGTCACCACCATGTGATTTCATCGTCAAAGCTTCAACGTATCCACATCTGTTTCAACACAACACCAGGCGAGTTTGAGAAAAATCAGAAGAAAAGAAGAACAAAGAGATTCATTGTTGTTACTTGATTATACGCATCTGGAACGGATTATCACTGAGGCGAGAACGGATTAAGATCGGAGATGAGACCGAAGCTATGGCGAAGGGTATGTCTAGACAAAGATATTTGAGATGAGATCGATGTAGTCATGTAAGTGAAGCTTGAGAAGAAGAAGACTGAGCTCTTGCGGCACCATGCCGTGTTGAGAGAAAGTGATTTAAGATTAAAACAGAGATGGAATATGGTGGTGGCACTGGCGTTCATCACCGGAGAAGAAGGAGTTGATCGGAGTCTCTGCCAAGTTAAAGAGGGAGAGAATGGGCTTTGGGTTATCTCGTGAAGATGATCAATCACAAAGACCAAACCCTTATCTCAACAAACGCCGCCGTTTAGGATCCCTTTTGTTTTTCTTTCAGTATTTTCTTTTTTTGTTTTTAAATAATCATAATATTGGGCTGAAGCTGAATTTGATTTGGGCTTGGTTTCTGTTGGTTAATGGATCCATTTGTATTTTAAATAGGCCCAACGTCATCCTTTTTGTTGATTTAGCCTTACAACAAAAAACCTCTTCTTGGATCTGCATTCAGTGGGCATAGCGCCTGAATCTTGCTTCTGCAAACCACCCAGATTCAATGTACACCCCCCGAGCTTTCTATTTTCTTTGTTAGATTTAGGACTAACCTTTGAATTTTTCTATTTTTTATATGATATAAAATCACAAAATCAATAAAAAATTTAGGCTTTTTATTTGATTTTAGGAAATTTGTTCACAATCTTTCGGTTACTTGAAAATTGCGATTCACCTTTGTTTGTTGACCTGAGTCTTATGCAGGTTCATTATTTTATATGCGGATGTGTTTTGGATTCCGATTGTGATTTATTTTCACATCGACGAAGTTTCGACACCTATTCCAAATATTCGATCTCTTACTGTTTGTTTGTTGATGCCAGCTCGTGCGAAGTATCTCATATTTCTCTCCTTTGGTTGCGCTTTTTGCAGACTTTGTTGTTTGTTTGGTATTATACTGCTTCCAAGTTATGCTCCTTCATTTATTGCTTTCTAGATATCATGAGAAGTAGGAAATAAAGAGCGTGCGCTCGAAGTCACTGTTTAAAGACCTATAGCAGGCATTCCGCACTTCATTTGCTATATGTGTTGTGATTGTGTTTGTTTACTTTCTTGTTGATCGATGAGTCTCTCAATTTAGAAATTGAGATCACGACTTCGATCTCAGTGCATGCTCCCTATAGGATTTTATCGCTTTCCTTTACTTCTGGTTGATCGATGAGTCACTCAATTTAGAAATTGATATCACGACTTCGATCTCAGTGCATGTTCCCTATAGGATAGTTTTGGTAGACTTTATTTAGCATGCTAACTTAGATAGGATCCCTCATTGTTTGATAACATTAGGGTAGAGATAAGTTAGTCTCCCTTATATGTTTTCTTCCCGTTTTTGCATAATTGCATTTAAAACTAAAACTTCTCTTTTCTTGGCAAATGTATAAAGAATGCTAAGCAAAAATTCTTTTCATGGTAAAAAATACCAACCAACCCATTTCTTTTTGCCATTCGGCTTTTCTCTTCTAAGATCATGTTAGATCCTTTCCACTACAGGTCATAAGTCTCCAAAGGTCGAGCAGCGGTGGAATGATCGAATGCAACATTGTTCATTTAAAAAATACAAACAAACAAAATATATAAGTCGAACTACGGTAGCTCTGATTCCTCAAAAAGGATACGTAGGCATTGGGGTAGGGCCCAAGCGAGTACAAATTTATTTTCCCTACATTCTTTCTCCTTTATTTGCATGCATTCTCTCTTAGTTTATAACCCTTAAGCATTAGATTGAACACACCCTTTGATTAGAATAACGAGAGTGGATCCCGTAGAGTACTATGGACGCGTGGGGTGCTAATATCTTCCCCTCGCGTAATCGACTCCCTTACCCAATCTCTCGGTCACAAGACCTTGATTTCCTCTTTAGGTTTTCTTCGATGATTTTCCTTTCCCTTTCATATGGGATAAATAAATACTCGGTGGCGACTTCATTGATTTTAGCGCTACATAAAAATGGCGACTTCACTGGGGAAATGTTCTATCCCGTGAGTCACTCCTAGCTCCCGTTTTTCCTTTCTTAGGGTGTTTGTCTTTATGTTGTTATGTCTTATTCATTTGTATATGTTTGAGCATATGTTTGCATTGCATCTTTATTGTTATTTGTCATATTGTTGCTGTGCTGGTTTCTCTGTCTCTTAATGGGTGGGATGTTACTATGAGGTAAAAGGCCCAATACCCAGGCCAAACAGAAACAATAGGAACACTAGGAATAGAGTGGAACATGAACGGATAGTTGACTTAGGTTTCACTATGCCGCCATGTCGTCCACGCTTAGATGAGGTACAAATGAGGGGCTATCATTTTCACGTAGGTGATATGGCGATAGTTTTTCAGGAGTAACCTCGATTCTGAGTTACCATTGACCTTACCATGACCTAGTCTTTACCCGTGAGTGGGGAGGGAATGATCTTTACAGGTACAAATGGTAACTATACATGTTCAGTTGGTGACTCTGATTATACTGGTGACTTTGACCGTTGGTATTCTGATTTGGTCCGGACCTTTGATCTTATTACATATGACAGTGGTTTTGTTATCAGTTCAGTAACTATTCAGCATTGTAGAAACTTCGATCTTATGATTATTGCACTTGCATCATGGAATACTTATTTTATAAAAGAAACAAAAAGAGGCAAAAAATATATAACTGCCTAACCTGCATTTGCATTTCATTTCCAGGATTATTCTGAGGTCTGTCGTCAGCATCAAGGATGGATAACAACATGAAGACAAGTTCAGAGCCTCTTAGAAACACTGTTGTTTATCAGTTCCCATGCTTTGGTGGTCGATTGCGAGAGTTGAGAGCTCTTGTGAAAGGACCAAATGAAATAGTTTTTAGAGGACAATATGGAAATCTATTGCCATTGGTGAATGATGATTTTGAGGAATGGGCCGTGAGAACACTTCTTCAGTTCTATGATCCGCAGCTGTGCTGTTTTACTTTCTGGGACTATCAATTGGCACCAACTCTTGAAGAGTATGCGCACATTATGGATGTCAAGGTGACCAACAGTATTCCCTTTGTTCGAGCACCAGGGATTCCAGACTATATGGCGATCGCCAGAGCTCTTTATCTGACTCATGGTGAAGTTAAAAGTAATTGGATTAACAAAAGCGACACAAGTGGTCTCCCTCTGAATTACTTGATATCAAAGGCTAAAGGTTTTGCAAAGGACATGAATTAGACAACGTTTAATGCACTGCTGGAAGCAATGATTTATGGTTTGGTCCTCTTCCCAGTATCTGAGAAGTTAGTGCATCTATCTGCATTGTATGTCTTCATGAACGGTAACCCCATACCAACTCTACTCGCCGATACTTATTACACCATCCATTGCCGACATGGAAAGAAAGGGGAAGTCATATGCTGCGCGATCGCACTTTATAAGTGGTTGATGATGCATATGCCTACAAAGGGGCCTTTTGTTCATGCTGCTGATTCATCTTTATGGTCTCAGCGTGTCATGGGACTTACTTCGTATGATATTTTTTGGCAAAGTGTGATAGGTTTAAAAGAGATCATTATAGGGTGTGGAGAATTCCCTAATGTCCCGCTTATAGGGACAAGGGGGTGCATTAATTATAACCCTATCCTGGCGCG